TATTAGCACTTGGAACATAACCTCCTGAGTGTTTCAGAATAAAACTTTATACCACCTTTAGATAAACAGCTGACATATTCTCCTTTAAGTCGCTATCTTCAAAACTCAACAAACTGGGTCACTAAATTATATTTTTGTTGGATATAAATGGTTCACATCAGTGACATTGCTCTCACTCATTGGCAAATGCATTTTATAATCAAGTATGGATTATACTAAATTCACGCATGCCATAAATAAAAAGTGAAATGTTGATGTGTTTATGTCTTAACTTGTAGCTTTTGTTGTCGAGAATTTTCTCAAATCTTTGAGATTTCTCCTTTGTTACAAAATTACAACCGATTTTCACGTCTTTCTTAAAGCAGAAATCGTATGACATTTTTTCAATGTAAGTAATTTGAATGCAGCTAGTAACTGAATACGGCCTATGCTTCATTAGGAGTAACAGGCGTAAGTAAGTAATTGAATAGTAGAACGAGAACAAATTGATACAAATAATAGCTTGGAACATCGGAAAGTAGTGTTGATTTCTGTCAGAGAAATCATTTTGTTTATGTATGTATAGTCAAAATTTCAAGAATAAATTCTTAAGCCATTAAGGAGGAAGAATGTATTTGTAAAATCTCAGCGAATGAATTTGAAGTAAATCCAATGTTCCTCTCGATAATCTGGTTCATGCTTTATTTTTCGATAAATTTGATATTTGATTATAATTTCTTGAAAAAGCTTGGACCAGATTGCCGAGAGAAACGTTGAATTTTTTTCAAATTCATTCGCTGAGATTTCACAAGTAAATTTTTCCTCTTTACTGTCTCACATTAACTTGGCGCCCAAACACTGTGAAACCATTCGGTTAAATTCTTTAGCATTTTTGGTGTATATATTTCCCCTATTTCAAGAATAAAAATAGTCAGTACAGGGTTGTGGAGAATGTTGAGTTTTGATTGAGATCACGAATCGATCAATGTCAAATTACTATTGGAAACCTAGAAGCACTAGACGGAGTCCATTCTAGAATGAAACAATCGTTTAGTGCTTCCAAGTTTTCAATAGTGGTCTAACATTGATCGATTCATGATCTTAACCATAAAATCGTTATTATTATTTAAAGCTTTGAAACATTATTTTAATGTCATTACTACTTTCATGATTCGACAATTTCTATTTTATTTTTATGCACCAACAACATTAGAAAAGTCCTTGATTCCGATTTGCTATTAGTGAATATCTTAATGGTTGCTATTTTGTTTAGAAGGACATTTAATGTAACAATTGAAATCAAGATTTTCAAAAGCTGTCATTTAATCTGTCATTTTTAAATGATGTATACGGCAGTCAGTGTGGAAATATAAGCTGCGAACAACAGTAAGTTTAGGAAAACCACCGTTATTCTAGATTATTTATAATTATTTTGTAGCATAGATTCTTTTCATTAGTATAATTGAATTTCCGACCTCATTTTAATTTTCTTTCAGCCAGATAAGGGACATTTTTCAGTAAACAATGTTTCGAACCACTTTTTGTTGGAATAACCTTTGCTTATTCCATAAAATTTTATTTAACTACGTGAGTGTAATACTATCAACATACTTTATGTAGAAATTTACAATGAATAGCAGACTATGAATCATTATACACCTAAACTGATAGTACATACCTCTTATTGTCGAGTAAACTTGCCTCTTATTTTTCTGAAACGAATCTAATATTTTTGCTACATTTTCAACTATCCAATTAACTTAGTCGTACCAGACACATTGTAATGTTTTTCCTTTTTTCCGCGCTTTGGATAACTCCTATCTTCAACTTAATTTTTAGAAAAAGACCAGTAAGACTTCAGAACTTTTTACCTGTGAATGAGAACACCGGTTTAGGAATCAAAGGTATTTTCACCGACGAACATGTCAGTTTAGTCATGTTATAACGTTGTTCGACCCAAGCTCTTATATTAGCAATAAAAGGTTTCAGTATCTTGTTGTAATATATATCTACAGTTTACTTCTCGACGTTTTGTAGATTTCAACTACTAAGATATTTAAATATTCCATCACTATCCTACACAGCCATAGATGAATAAACCAGGGGCAAGTTTATTGGCGCCTTAAAAATACGACTTTATAATTTGAAACATAATGCTATATAACAACAATGAATATAACTTGGGCACGTATGGTTAAATATTATGCAGATTCTTTTTACGTGTGCTCATAGAGGGATATTTACCCTTATGTGAAATATATTATGCTCACTGTCAATATTTCAATACTATTAATTTGAGTTGAACCTTTAATCAATCGTTAATCCGAAGAAATCAAAAGAGTAACCGATTTCTATTTAACGTTGACATTTATATTCAGGAACGTAATCTGTCAGAGATTATTTCTGGTATTTAAAATATACAAAATGTTTTAAAATTTGATTACTATCAGTTCACTTTATTTTACGGGAGATGATCAACAGTTATGAGAATGAAATTTTCACGTAACTGACCTTATTTTTGGTTAGTCTAAGGAATCCAAATTGACGTTGAAGCAGAACACGAAACTTTGGGTATCTGAAAGCATAGATACATGGGTCCCAAACGGCTGCTGTTTTTGCACATAAACATGGTAATTCAACCATTAGTGGTGTTATGTAATCGGCGTAGCCAATAAGGGCCATTAGACAAACAACTGAATATGGGGTCCAACATAATAAATAAACGCCTAACAGTATAGCTGATGACTTTAATACAAAAGTATCTGATTTTGAAGATGCTGAAATACAATCAAAAGATACCAGTGATAAGTTATGTTCATGAACGCGAAGCAGTGTACATGTAGCTTGATGTACGTTCATGTACATGCCTGTGTATATTACATGGAGTTATTCAATATAATCACATGAACAAAGCAGTGATCCATTATCAGCAAACTAATAAGGTGCAAAATCGCTTCTTTACAGTGTGACCAGATATTTATGCAGATGTAATTAGGTACTAAATTGCAACAAGCCACTTTTGTGTTGTTTATTCTCACTGGTAAGATTTTCTGTAACTAATTCAGTGTTCCTAGCAGAATCGAATACATGACTTGTATGCTTATAAATTGAACATGTAGTGAAACTTCAATATTAGTAATTCAATAAGATTATTGACGTATTAGAGTTATCACAACTTTGATTTCTTGTTTCCCGTTTAAAACTGTTTGATTCATATCATAATTTTACATTGGTATATGTGATTGTTTATAACAACAAACAAAGAACATTTTTTGCAAATATAAATTTATCAGAAGGTTATGTTGTGTAATGTTTCATTGTAACTTGATAATGATGAATTAGATAAACGGTATAAGTTCACAAAAATGGATTACAACCTTCTGCTTAAAATTAAACTATGGTTGGAGATATTTTCCTATATCAATTACATTACCAATTTACTATTACATACTGCACCGTATCTGTCAACGAACCTCTGTTATGTCTACATATATTTCTTTTTAACAGTAAAATTTGTGTATATGATTATTTGTCAAAGAAGTTCAATTCACTTACATACATTGGCACCTTTTTCCTTTTGATTAGCGCCTTTGGAACTTGCTGCCATTTCTATAAAATCTTTACCTCGACTTCTTACAATTAGAATAATTCTGGCGTAACAGAATAGTGATAAAAATAAAGGACATAAAAAACCAAAACCAAATAGTCCAATGTTGAATAATCGATTGTTAAGGTCAGTTGATATATAATCCATAGTGCATGAGGTTTGATATCCTTCTGTCACGTAACGTCCTGAATAAATGAACAAAATGCAAACCACATTAGTTTGAATCAATTTAAACAGTATTATAAGTAACATATATGTTCATGTACCTTAGAAAATTTTCCCGATTCGTCTCAATGGTATATTAGATTTTACTAGACATAGAGTAGTGAATAAAAAATTATTATTTTCATCATCATCATCATCATCATCATCATCATCATCATCATCATCATCATCATCATCATCATCATCATCATCATCATCATCATCATCATCATCATCATCATCATCATCATCATCATCATCATCATCATCATCATCATCATCATCATCATCATCATCATCATCATCATCGAATTACTAATCTCTACTTTTCGCTGATGTTTTTTATATTCAAGTGAATCTATGTATTTCGAGCTGAGTGTTTATATTAAAAATGAACAGACTAAGGAAATGATATTATGGTTGTCCATTGTTACTTTTATACTTAAATCTTTTGATATCTGTTCCGTTATATAATGTCTAGACTTTTTAAAAATTGTAGGTTTCATTATAATACTATTCTGTAGCTAATGGTTTTAAACTATATGGTGTTACATCACATCTATTAATGATATAATTCCGAGTTATAAATTGCGGTGTTTGTTGTAAATTTTCATATGTGGTTAGTATAATATTTTTTATGTTTTGCATGATATCATTTAACTGGAGTCAGATCCCGGGTCATTAAAGTGGTGAGCTCGACGTGATTCTGCTCCCATATTGGAAATATGATGAAAGGTGTTAAATTTGGATATTGTTATAAAATGAAGTCCGTTTGTGCCCACTTCCCCATCAACATGATTCCATCAAACAACGGTCCCAAATTAGAGACAGATATCGAACCACAAAAGTCGTGAACCTGTCAAAAACATCGTCCGATCTAATTGACATCTGAATAATGCGCCCCACTAAAAATATCCACAATAAGCGATAAATATTAGTTGTTACATGAATGCTTTGTTTGTGTCTGCAGTTTCACTGAATTTGATGAAATGGCAAACTCTGTCATAAGTATTGTATTGAACGAAAATCTTGTTGATGGCATACAACAAAAAAAGTATTTGAAATTATTATTTTCACGAAATAATCGACAGTAAACACACAAAAATATCCTTTTTAATTTTCTACAAAGAGCTAGTAATGAGAATTCGTAAATGTTAGCTAAAGTATTCACTTTAATTTTATTGAATGAAGTGAATTACGAATTAGATATTTATCGCTTACCAAATCCGAAAAGTGGTGGAATCGTCCAGATAAGAGACCACAACCATAAAAATAACATTAACAATAATGTACGTCTAGGAGTTGTTTGAAATACACTTTCAAAAGGAGTTGCAATAACTAAGTAGCGATCCAGTGCAACAGCGGCTATCGTAGATAAGGAAACAAATCCAAAAAGTCCACCAGCTAACCCATATATATCACACGCTTTGTGGAAGTTAAAAAAGATAACAATAATCTATGGTTAGATAAAACGTTATATGAAATCCAAAAACATACTCTAAAAACTATTATTAAATAAACTCCCACGAATCATAGGATCGCAATAGAATATATTAGCCTGGCAGAGTTACATAGATTCTTCAGGTAAAATGAGCTAATTTAGAACAAACAAGAACAGTGTTCTGGAATTAACATATAAGTATTTAAAGTAACATCTTTGAATAAAACCCATTATAACACTGTGTTTTACCCAATACAATCGGCTGAACTCTGCTTATAGGCCATCTATGGTGCTGTACGTTCCAAGCGTGAGTAAAGAAAGGATGTCAGGTTTGGGTTTAAGATTTCCACCTCAAAAAAATATCCATCACCATAGCGTCAATCGTTGAAACCATTTAAAATTTTCACTGGCTGTCAAACAGCCTTGATATTGTAAGTTGTAATGCCACTCATACAAAGCCAGAAGTCACTGGGAATAATATGTCAAGAACCACTTTTAACAACTATGAAAGAACTAAACATAGGAACATGGAATGTTTGAACAATGTTGAAAAACGGGAGCGTAATTTAAAGTCACAGTTATGAGAAGGAACACGATTCTTCTCAGAATAAGTGAATCTCCTTGGACACAATCTAAACGGAAGAGACTAACTTCAGTAGGGATGCTATCGTGTTCTACTTAAAAAGAATATGCCCTACACTAACAAAGAGTTGAACAGATACCTCCAGAATAAGCACTTAAAAGACTAATACGGTAGGGAACTCGTAGCTCTTAATAACACGGTTATAGTTGGCACTTTTTCTTCCTAGGATGTATACACAAAGCTACATAGGTCTTACCGCACTACACTACAGAAAATCTAAAGGACTACGTCTTCATGAATTGAGATTTCAAAAGGTCAACGGAAAACGTAAGCACAAAATAGCTGATATAGCTTCAAATAACTGCCCAGTAGTAGCCGAGCTAAAATTGAAGATTCAGAAGTGCTGGACAACTGGACAAACAACATTACAAAAGTTTAATGTAGCCTTCCTTCAAATGCAAATAAACTGAACGAATTCAAGATAACTCTCATTAGCAGATTCTAAGCCATACTAGATGTAGTCAGAAAAGGTAAAACCCCTGTGGCAGACACTTGGAAAGGAGTCAAGGCTGTAATAACTTCAACACGACAGAAATCACTGGGTCTCAAGATGCACCTGAATAAAGAACAGAGTCCTATTGATACCCTAGGCAAGATTCAAGAAAGGAAAATTAAGATAATAGTCAACACCAACCGAACAAGAGCAAATAAATTCAAGACACAGGCCACAAATTCAGAAGCAAACGAGCAAGTGAAGAAGTGCATTAGAGCTAACATGCAGAAACATAAAGACCTGGCAATTACATTGAAAAATTTGCAAGAATAGTAAAATACGGATCAGACAGCATGCAAGATGAAACGTTGAAGTTAGATATAGAGGTAGCTAGAAGGAGGTCCTGAGTTTTGTTTAGAAAGTTTTTTGAAGAAGAACAAGCACCATCAGACTAAAAAGAAGGACACTTGATGAAGATATTGAAGAAAATGGATCTCGGCAAATATGAGAACTACATAGGAACTACACTACTGTCAGTCCCAATGCTACCGTCACCATCAAAAACGGTACACGCATTTATCATCAGATGTCTATGCAAGAAACCAAAGACCCATTCGTCGAGGACGGTCAGCAATAACCCATTCTATTAAAAATAAACTGACAACCAGTTGCGTATGAAATTAATAAAAGGTGATGGGTGTGGATAGGAAACACTTTAGGAAAACCACTGAATTCCATGACGAGGCAAGAGACAGACCAAAGAACACATGGAGCAGACAATTATAGGTAGAAATTAGGACCACGAACGACCCATCGGAATAACTGGAAAGAGAAGCCCAGGAAAAAACTGGTCAGGGATTCCTAATTCGCGGCCTTTGTTGGAAAAGGGTAAAAGGCTTAAGTAAGTTATAATGACTTAATTTGATATTACACGATTTCGAATGTATCAGAGAATCCACAGAGAACTAAATTGCGATTTAACCCTTCTCAAAATTCATTTTCTTAAACATAACAGTTCAATAGTCTTTGTATTAGAATAGCTATATTAGGGTCAAAGCTTAAAATAGTAAACCAGTTACTGGAATGTTAATGAAATTACTTAAAAATGAATCTGAGATTTTACCGAAATATTTTTTCCTTAATGTGATCAAATAATATTTTCGTAGTTTCTTCCAAACTTTTGGAAGCTTTTACTATTGAAAACACTATTATTAAGATGGATATACATAGCTTCTGAATGCTGTGTAATTAAGATAACTATAATAAAGCTATTCTTTCGCTTGTAAAATAATCTTCTGATAAGTTTTTAATTGATAAGAGCGTATATAAAAACATACGATTTTATACTATGGAGATAATGATCAAAGATGTTACTAGATTTACATTGAAATTTTCGAAAAGATTACATATATTGTATTTGTACTGAAAAGTAACGTAGCAAGAAGAATCACTGAAGATGTACTCAACAAATATTTCAAGTAATTTGGTACTCCTTAATCGGTCCACGCTACCAACGCTGTCACAGGTTTGATCTAAGATTCTGATAAATCCATAGCTCCCATCAACCAAATATTTTCTACTCTTTAGACCGAACAAACGAAGCTCTACTGTATAGACTTTGTCTATAGAGTTGTAATACTTAAGACTGAATTTTCCAAAATATATCAGTTACGTAAGCATCAAAACACCGTTTTTTGACTAGGGAATTACAAATGCAAGACTATTGTTTTCATAAATCGCCTTCTTACATCTGAAGTAGAAATAGATGAGCCCCAATATTAATCTATTCAGTTAATTATCTGAATTCTGTATTTCTACGACAAATCATATTCAGACTAAAGTCTAAGATAATTTAACATTGAATTTTAGCAGTCACTAATTCAAGAATACGTTACAGTGTATAACTGTAGTCTACTAACTTACACTAAACTTGAATATATTATACACATAATAATATTTCGATGTAAAACTAAAAAACCCCATTAAATGTGATATCGTTTAGCATGTCAAATCTCTGAACACATTGGAAATAATTTGATATGAATAAATCATAGGCGACTGGTGCATACTATCATAGTAACCGTCTAAATTTGTTATTGTTTACATTTTAAAGTTGAGATATTATTTACTAAAACAAACTTACCTATTTTACCCCATGGCCAGAAGTTATTAAATGCTGCCATAGTTTTTAAAGGAAAGCCAATAACTGCTGAAAATCCTAAATCTGATATTGCTAAATTTACAACAAGAATATTTGAAGGTGTTCTAAGGGATTTAAACCTTTAGAAAAAAGTATACAGAAGAAAAAAGCTGGAATTATTCCGAATCGTAATAGATCTAGTTTGATACATGTTCATTCATTTGAATATATCTAGAAAACATTTTACAAATAAATACCTCTGCCAAGACTTGGCTAAATAATTTTAAATAAACAGAGTATTGGGTTAATTGTTTCCAACCATTTAAATAGTAATTTATTTGTAATTAATATCTCATTGATTGGGAAAACGAATATCTGATGATAAAATACGAGTCGATTCACCTAAAAATATCTACCTTTAGTGACTCTATTCAGGTATTGTTGGGGACGTTAGATCCCTATAACTCATATTTTGTAATTTTATTGTTGTAGAGCTTGTATGCAGATGTATGCTTGGGCATTTCTTACCACTTCTGGATTGAGTTAGCTGAGTCAAGGACAACGGACCAGTATAGCCTATCGAGTTTCTGAGTGCTTTATTCTTCGTTCCGTTCCGAGTAAAACGAATCAGTAGTAGCATTCAAACTTAACAAACATAATAGGTATAAATAATGTAAGGAAACGAATCAAATTGATCGTTTAGTTTATGTAACTAGGACCGATCATTTAAGTGTTACGTCATTGATATAGGTCAGCTAGTTTATTACAATAGTTTCAGCAGAGTGAAAATAAATAAATTTAAACATATCAATAGATGTAATATATTCACTAAACAATCAAAGAATCATAAAATTTATGTAAACTCATCAGTTAGTAAATAATTAATTGAGAATACTTTATTTGTTATAGCTGTTATTATTGTATAGTTCCTATTGAATCAGTTTATTTACCTTACTGTTTAGATTGATTTTATTTAAAGTCATATTACTGATTGGTTATTTTTACTAATTATCTTTTCCCGAAGGTAAGTTTGTCTCCATGTAATGGTTAAATGATTACGTTTAAACTTCAATTCAATATTACGTCTCTTTATCAGACACTTTTGTAACCATCTGTCACGAAATATGTAATGTCGCTTCTATCCCATAAATTACATTGATGATAAATGCGTTATTACTAGAAAAATTGGGAAGATGTGTATTTGGAAAACCATCATAATAAATAGTACTTAGTTGCTCAATGTTGACTTGATTTGAGACTGATTTGATGAAATCCTTGTTGTAAATTCATACCTAGATAGAGATTATGGATTTTTCTATAGTTTTATAGAAATTTTCCCACCTAAATATATATCAAAGGAGAGATAGTATTATCTACATGTTTCATTGTATCCTAGACGTACCTAGAATTACTCGTTGATGAAATAGACCTAGTTCTTATTTAATATCAGAAGCCTATTATACTTTGACCGATAACTGCAATTCTACTTTGAATGAATAATTTTTAAGTTTCATAGCTAGTTAATTTAAATTTGCTTTTCATAGCTATTGGTATGGAATACCAAAAAACTGAATAGCACTGTTAATTAAACGTTTAGCCCCCCCCCCTTGTAACATGAAAAATTAAGTTAAATATCTGTTTAAGTATCTAGTGGTTATGAGGACTCAGTAGCTAAGTGAATGATGCGATGGTGTTTGAAGTGTACTGTACTGGGTTCGAGTCCCGGAGTGACCACCAATTCTAGGATACAGGTACATCCAGCTGACAATCCCCGAACAGGATGAAACGCGCGTCCTGAATTCCACTGTTAGCCATCATTTCATTTAACTAATTACAATTGGTAATTTAATTAACACAAATTCACTCTGACTCAAAATAAGACACTTTCGAAATAAAATCGAATCAATTACTATTGAATTTTACTAGCATAATTATTGGATATATCATTTTTAAATACTAATATCCGTACAAAATTTTGATGGTAAAAAAGTGAAGAATGATGTTGAGTTCCAATGGTGTTTTAGTAATCGGTAAATTATTACTATTTCGTTCTGTACTAGTAAATTTGTTGAATGTTTTAGAAGTTTAATACAATTATTAATCTTTTTTAATAAGTGAAATTTCTTGATAAGGTTATGATCATTCTATAAGTTTCATAATCATTCATTATCTATAATCTTATATCAATTATATTCGTGATATATTTCATTAAATTCCAGAAAATGATTCCTGTCAAATTGAATTTATTTCTACATCACTCAAGGTCATTGAGTAATCATATAATAAATGTATCTATTATAGTTGGATCAGATATTCGCTAAATTGTTTTCTGACCTTCTATAAATTCGTAGATATTAGATTTCACATTTGTTTATTCGATTTCAAAAGAATTTCATTCGATTTTTTTGTTAAAAATAAAAAAAATGATACTAGTGAGATTCATTTTAATGATTAGAGAATTGTGTAAGATTTTAATTTTTAATGTTAAGGAACCAGTAAACAATAAATAATCATCGAATAGATCCTGAATTCGAATCGCGCGAAGTAGGATTGCGGATGCGCATGGCTGAAAAGTCCCACAATGGGACGAAAAGGCCATCCAGTGATTCCAGGTTTTTCATGGTGGTTTAGCTTCAGTTAACTCATGATCTCAACTATTGAAATTATTACAATCTCTACAAAATCCCTTCTGATACTTAACAACATATACTCACCAGTGACTGGCTTCAACGTGTATATCTTGGAGTTTTAGTGAGAAGCAGTGAACAGTGGAATTCAACCGGGTGTGTTGTGAGACAGTAATTCATTGATGATAATGATGGATGTGTCGCTCAATATTGTGGATTAATTGAATTCAGATATTAACACTGTTGGATGCCGGCTCAGTGGTCTAGAGTTTAGGAGTTTGCGCGCGAGACCGATAGGTTATGGGTTGGAATCTCGCGAGGCGGGATGCGCACTGCCGAAGAGTCTCACAGATAAACGAAATGGCTATCCTGTGCTTCCAGGTTTTTCATGGTGGTCTAGCTTCAAATGACTCATGGTCTCAACTACTGAGATTACCGTCAAGTTTAATAAATAAATAAATGTGAAAAATAATCCTCATTATCAAGAACTAAAAATTCTGTAGTCAACTATAATTTAATAGTTGAGATGTATGTATGAAAACAATTTGCTCACTTCGCTTTGGTTTCAGTTTGTAATTTTATGTAATTATTTATTTTCTGTCCTTATCTCATACCTACAATTACATTACTGGTTCTGTTTCGTTCTGCTTGCACTCATCCATATTTCTTTATTATCATCCACATGTTTTTATCTTAATCTAACAGTATTGAAAGTACTCTGTTCATCTTACTGTTTAAATATTCCTCATGCTTCAAACATTATTACCTTCAACATCTATTTGTTTGTTGGAAAAATACTTTAGTCGAAATCCTAATAAGAACTGACTAAGTTGTAGCACGATACAATGTTTTCCATGATGGTCTTGCTTCAATTGAATCATGAATTCAACTATAAAATCATTACAATTTCCACAAATCCTCCTCTTACTATAGATTATCGCTTATATGAATAAGATTGCTTGGTGTTGAAAACTAACTCATAGAAAAAGATTCCACTACTTGAATAAACTGTTTTATTAAATTTATCTGTTTTTATCAGTTGAGAAATTTGATATTAAATAAATGAAAAATTTAATTTGCAAAAAAATTCGTTTAAACTCACATTGTGAAAAATATGATGACTAATAAATTAAGGCACACACCAGTTATCCCAACAACTGCAATGAATAAACCTATGGCATATTGGTAATATGGATGTGGTTGTTCAAATTTGTGCCAGTACGGTAAGACAATGCTGTCGAAATCTTTCATAACTGGTCTTAACATTTCAATTGTTCGATTGGAAGACATGTTTCAATAATTCTAAAAAGAGAATTAATAAAGATGTTTATAATTTACAAATTATTAATCATTGAAACAATTTTAAATCGTAGTAAGTGCTTTCTAAAGATATGTTGATATTAAATATACGTTTCACTACAGACAGACATTTAAGAACTAACAAATGTTATGTGACTTGAATGGAATACATTCTTTTGATCTTATATTCGACCAAACTACTCTGTTTTGTAAGTATCCTGAGTAGAATGAAGTGGATGGTTTCCATATCATGTTAACCAATCAGATTTACAATAGCAGGTCTTGGATTTCGGTACGAAATTCTTCATCCATTTGGTTATAAAGAGTTTTGGCATTTTAGCTAGTTTCAGTTCGTTAACTGTAAATTATAATTCTAATCCCTCACACTGGTTTTAAACCTTCATTTAGTCCTAGTGTATAGTTGAACATTCTCACGGCCACTGTAGCGAGGCTCAAAATTCGTCCATAAATTATAGTATCACCTATTTGTTTATATTTTCATTTTTATTCGAATTCGATGAGCATCTAGTGTGAAGTGACTAAGTCCATTATATTTTGGTGTCAAATAAGAGAATATCTAGCAGTAAACATAGTTAAAATATTATTCGTTTATAAATAAAAATAATTATCATGAATTTCTGCATCAGTTAATAACTAATTTCATTCCGTTCGCCGTTCACGAAAATAGTATTTGTTATAAAATTTTGTGCAAACGAGTTATCGTTGATGTTTTATTTTATTGAATATATATATTTAATGGTTAAATCATATGACTTTTCAATGGTTAGGATCATGAGTCAGTTGAATCTAGACCACCATGGAAAACCTGGAAGCACCGGACAGCCGTTTCGTTCTATTGTGGGACTCCTCAGCAGTGCGCATCCACGACCTCGCCCCTACGAAATTAGAACCAAGGACCTACTGGTTTCGCGCGCGAGCACCTAACCACTAAACCACTGAGCCGGCATCCAACGGTGTTATTGTCTAACTTCATATGACTTTGCCAAAATCTATAAACTGATAAAACAACTGCACATAATTGTCTCATGTTGTTTGTTTCATAGCAAACTTTATTGCTAAAACATATTGTGAATTTCAAATCCTACTGAAACCAATATCAACTTATATAATCGTTGAATAGTCAGTAGATTAGGTATAGTTTTATCCCATTTAGATGCTTTTTTTCAATATGATTTTAAAGTAAATATTGTCTTGTAGACATTTTCTAATCCGGTCATACTTTCATAGTCACATGATACTTACTATGATTTATTAATAATAAAAATGAAGTGACTTTATACAGTTACTGTTGCAAGATGAAATAATTCCTTCTATAGGTATTCTCATGAAAAAGCATTCCTTTCTTATGAATCCTTAATTTAAAAGCTACATAGTATATGTCATTATCTATTTCTACAATTCAAGTGTATTGTTAAACATTTATTCATCCACATAAATTTTATTATAGACGGATTACACCAAGGGAAAATTAGACTAAAAATGTAATCCATTTGAAACGTAAACGTATTCATTTATCATATTTCCAAATACATAACCAAGTATCTTTTAAGTCATTCAACAATGAAATAATGACGGTGTTAAATCTTATAGATTACATTAGTGTAAGCATCAATATTATGTTAAATATATATTAGCGTCATTAACATTTGCTACAAATAGTGCAACATGAATCCAATAGTACAGAATTGAGAAAGCTTGATGGAAGTCTATTATTGAAAAATAAAGTCCAAAAAGTTATTCTATCAAACATACTATAAGACAGTTAAATCTTTACGTCTGACACATCCTGTATCATTTTTACATACTTATCTGATCAAAGGTATCAATACCAAGGTTGTACTTGATAGTTATAAATAAGTTGAGCACCAGATAAGGAACTAATAATAAATAAATTTTTTGTTGTGTCCCATTGAGTAGGAAAAAATTGTATTTCTGACACTTCATAACTTAATGTAATCCATTTCTTCAGAGTAAATACTCTGGAAAAATACAATTTTCCCGCTCATTAGGATATAACAACAAATATATATCTATTACTGACGAGACTATACTCTATGAACGAACCAATCAGATCTAAGATAATGAGTCATGAATTTTAGCTCAGACTTCATTCATGCATTTGGCGAAAAGAGTTTTGGCATTATAACCGATGTCAGTTCATGATGAAAACTCTAAATCTAATTTTTAACTCTAACCATCAACTGTAAATAAAAATTCTAACTGTTTTATAACCTTCATTTAGTCCCAATCAGTAGATGTTCAATCTCAAAGTCACCTCATCGTTGCTCAAAGGTTATCCATAAATTACAGTCTCACTATATTACTTATCTGATCACATCTGATTAAGTAGAAATTACTAGCGAAACTGAATTTAATATATAAATAAAGTTAAACAACTACTCTGGTTTGTAATAATTATTCTGTTTTTGAAACTATCTAAGTGATTTGTTGCTATATTATAATCTAATTTGTATAACAGTTTTATACCTCGATGAAAATCAGTTTATTTTAATTTTTTTTAGTTTTTCAGTGTATTATGTGTTCATAGTGCATAGATTACAGCAAAACATTTTGAGATTTCTAATGAATGCGAATATAAACAATATGGTCATAGATTACTCCTAATCCATTTTACTATATTGTACATAGAGATAATTTTATACATATACATATACAAGCATACTTTTAAAAAGTTTGTTTGTCTGTTTTGAAATATTTATGTAAACAAACGAGAATCTCATGTTTATTTATTTCATGTATTCACATTTCCTCACAGAATTGGTACTTTAACAAAAAGACTTTTCATATATATATATATATATATATATATATATATATATATATATATATATATATATATATATATATATATATATATATACGATTGTACAGCTTGATAATAAATTCGTTGAAAAGCGATTCCTTCACTGAACTTCATGTTTTTAATTCAGAATAATATTCTATTTCTTCAATATTATCAGGCTAATCAAATTGAACCCCCAGAACTTACAAAATAGTGCAAACATTTATTTTTTAAAATTTTTTTTACAAAAATTCTTATCTTTTCACAAATAAACATCTCACTTTATTATTATAAAATTTAAAAAATGTTTAGTTAATAAACAAATTCATTTATAAATAGAGACAAAGTTATTCACTTGAACTTATAACGATGATAATGAATGAACAATAATGTTAGGATGATTATGAAAATATTTTGATCAAAAATTAAAATCTCAAAAATTTTATTAGATATTTCTATTCATTTCATAATTTAATAAAATCAAGTTGAAATTATATGGTTGTTGTTTAGAAGAAAAAAAAAGGAGTTGTAAACAAAACTTTTATTCAAAACTGGATTCCTAGACAACAGAACAGTATCTTAGATTAAAAGATAATAATAATAATAATAATAATAATAATAATAATAATAATAATGGATAATCATATATTTCACTTGAATTTTAAAATATTTTGTCTTAGATTAGTAAGTTATACTAAATAATTATTTTTAAAATAAACATTAGGAAAAAAATATTTTTGCTTTCAAATTACTTATATTTTAGTATCCGAAGGGGTTTTTGTGGATATTATAGTAATTTTAATAGTTGAGATCATGAGTCAATCGAAGTTAGACAATCACTGCAAACCTGAAAGCACGGGATAGCCATTTTGTCCTATTGTGGGACTCCTCAACAGTGCACATCCACGACCACGATTCGCAGGATTCGTACGCAGGACTTATCGGTCTCGCGCGCAAACTCCTAAACTCTAGACCACTGAGCCGGCATCCAACAGTGTTAATATCTGAATTCAATTAATCCACAATATTGAGCGACACATCCATCATTATCATCAATGAATTACTGTCTCACAACACACCCGGTTGAATTCCACTGTTCACTGCTTCTCACTAAAACTCCAAGATATACACGTTGAAGCCAGTCACTAGTGAGTATATGTTGTTAAGTATCAGAAGGGATTTTGTAGAGATTGTAATAATTTCAATAGTTGAGATCATGAGTTAACTGATGCTAAACCACCATGAAAAACCTGGAATCACTGGATGGCCTTTTCGTCCCATTGTGGGACTTTTCAGCCATGCGCATCCGCAATCCTACTTCGCGCGATTCGAATTCAGGATCTATTCGATGATTATTTATTGTTTACTGGTTCCTTAACATTAAAAATTAAAACCTTATACAATTCACTAGTAATTAAAATTGATTAGTATCAGGAGGGATTTAATGTGAATATTATAGTAATTTTTGGTTAGTTTAGTCAAAATTATGATCATAAAATTAGAAAATAGATTGAAGAAGCATAAATGTCATTGATGGAGTTTTGTTCTTTGAGTTGAATGGTTTGGTCGTGAAGCTTCCATCGGCGAGACTATAATTTATGGACGACCTTTGAATGAATCTTAAATGGCCTTGAGAAATATTAGCCAATCAACAAACAGCCACTATAGAGTAAAAATGTATTATACAAAACCAAAGAATTAAAGTAGATACACTTATTATATGAGGTTCAAAAACTTGTCAGTGTAAGAAAGAGGTTCATAGGTTCTTAATTTGTAGTACATGCAGTAGAAGAAATCATCCATATGGCTACAGAATAGTCGGCCTCTGGAACCATGATAAGGTCGCAAAAACTCTTTCAGCCTCGACCACATAGCTGCAATATTGCTTGTGTGCACTCCGGTTGTTGAGTACACAAAATGCCACTTGCGGATAACGATACGACGCACATAACCAAGCCTATGTAGGAGTCTGTGCGCTCTGAAATCATCCGTATATATTGTAGTACCTAGCTGCAGCCAGTGTTACTGGTGTTTTTATTACCCAGTTCGTAATAATTGTCATAATTTGCCTTAGCTAGGAATTATATACGTGATTTTCATCACGAACTGGCATCAGCTATAATGCCAAAACTCTATTTAGCCAAATGGATGAAAGACGTTTGTCCCA